AAGAGCGGGGTTTTTTTTCCCAAAAAAAACCCATGTCCAGACTACTTTCACTTTCGAAAGACCTGCTTTTGAAAAAGCAATCAGAAGTCGATATACAAATTCCAGTAGAATTTGCATATCCTCTTTCAAAATTAAAACGTAGTCTAGACGTGCCCTTAGTTACCACTCTGCCACAGGAATAGTGAGTTTTGCTGCTGATCTCTGTTTCAGCTCCCTGATGCATCAACTTATCCCTTGCAAACAAATGTTTCAGGACTTACCTTAAAGGTGACTGTGAATCCAGGTTCCCTGGAGATGTCCTTCTGCAGTGTTCTCTGTAGATATTCACAGAAGTTAAGTTTGCTGCCTCTAAAAAGACTGCACACGTTTGTCTGATAGATAGTTGAAGACTTATCGCTTCACTCCAGTATAACAGCACTGTGATAGTTTTGCAACAAAACAAAAATAAATTTATTAACAAAGAACGTAGGTTTGAGTCAAGAGTGAAAGAGATATGGAAGATAACATGTTTTGCTTGTAACTTGGCCAGTCACTAAAACAAATTCAGAAAGTTATTTTTTTGTTTAAGGAGGTTTCTGACCTTCAGTCAGTTCTCAGATATTCAGTTTCTTTCACTCTTAACTTATTCAAACTTATGTTTTTTTGTTAATACACTTATTCTTGGTTTGTTACAAAACTATCCCAGTGCTGTTATACTGGAGCCCTGGACTCTATTGCTGCGCCGGAACGGACCCCGGCACTGGGGGTTGTCCGCTGACTCCCAGACAAGGGGGCTGGCATGTGGCTGTGTGGAGCCAGCAGTGGTGTGTCCCCCACTTAACACCCCCCTTCATCCATAATTCCTAGTTAAAAATGTATTGGTTACACAGTTACATTTTACATTCCTGTTAATGACCAGCATATTACCAGTTTGCGTATAATACCCTGTGTGACAACTTTTATGTGCAGCTTATGGCTGCAATGTTTTCTAAATATTTGATACATAAATTTTCAAACAGATATTTCATTAACAGAAGTAAATTGGCAACTCATTTTTTTCATATTCCTGAGGTGTCATTTTTTAACAACTTTATTGATTGTCAGCTATATGGATAGCTTACAGACCACCACAATACTTAATATAGCTTAAGGAATGATTTACAAATCATTTTGACCAAATATACAGCTCTATTGAAGAAGTAGACCAATGATTAATAGAGCTATTTGTTCAGATATCCTTTCTTTACATTCTACAGTTTTGCGATGAGACCTCCTCAACTATGCTCCAGCAAAGGACTGGCTTTGTGTAGCATGGGTGATGCTAGATTTTTAAGTAGACTTACCACCTCTGCTTATGTATCTAGAAGTGGTTCAGATTAAACATACATTGATCTATACTTACATTTTAAAATGTTTAATTTTATACAGATTACCTTTCTGATATTTTCTCCTCTCAAAATAAATGGTTACATGGCTGCATGCTGCTCATTTTAAAAGCAAATCAAAGGGGTTTTGTTTAGTGATGCAAAATCCCATTTAATTGGTTAAACAGTTGAATATGGTGTTGGCATTCTGTTTAACCAATTAAAGAGGTGTGGGCTGGGGTCAGGCTAAAGCGGCCCTCACTGGGCTGTTGCCACAGTTTCCAACCTCCCCCCCACAGGGACTGCTACTACTGCCATGGTTCTGCCCCCGCTCCCAGTTAAGGGTTACGCTTACCGAGTAACCATTTAACCAGCTAACCATTAAAATCCCTAGTTCTGTTCCTGACTAAACAAGATATTGAAAAAACTAGGCCAGTTCTAGCTTTTTCACAGCTGACAGTAAAACCCAGAGGAGGGGCTTTAGAGAGGAAATTTCTTTACGATTCTCCTTGCAAAATTTTCCATTCTGTCTCGTCTTCAGTTTTGGCTCCTTGAAAGATAAGTCAGGGGGATTCATAAAAGCCTATGTTAGTCTGTGCCTCCATATTTGCTTTGAAATGCCAATGTTCCAATCTGCTTTCTTGAAACTATATTCCTAACTCAGTTCCTGTCCATGGCTGCTCCCAAAGGCTTCATTCATTATCCTTTCCAAAATTGATTCTTTAGGGCTTTGTTTCTCCTACACCTATACACTCACCAGAAGTCACCACTCTCTTCTCTGTATAGCTCAGAGAGATTTAAACATGAATTCTAGGGTTTCATTTGAACTACTTATACCTGGTCCAGTTCTCTGCAGTAGAAATGAGTTGCTGTAACTTCATAATTTTTTTTCATTGCTTTTAAACAGTAGCTTCTGGTGCAATTTGCAAAGTTTCAGTAATAACTTCAAAACCAGTTCTAATAATTGTGCCTAATTTTTAAAAAAAGAATACTGTTAAGAAGTTTAAGTCCCTAGCACAACCTGTTTAAAACTATTATTTGATCTGAAATACATTGCCGAGTTAGCATGAAATTAAAAAAATGTTGACAGGACATTAGATGTAAGCCAATGTTTTATGTTCTCCTGGCTATTTTTAACAAGGTGGGGCTCTTACACCTTTCAAAGGAGGAATATGGAACTCCGTTCGCAGCCAGGGGCCAGTGGGAAGTCCCACTGACTGGGCTGCATGTGGGTGCCAGCTTTGAAATGTACAAGAGTCCCCAGCAGGAGCTCTTGTGAATTTCAAGGCAGAAGCGCCCTCATGGAGCCGAAGGTCAGCTGGGGACAGCGTTGAAATGCCACGTGGAACCCGGGTCAGCTGGGGACTCCCCGACTGATCCTGGGCTCTGCATGGCATCTCTGTGGAACCCGAGGTCAGCTGGGGAGTCCCCAGCTGATCCCGGGCTCCATGCAAATGCTGCGGCGGCGTTTTAAAGGGGCAGTGCTGCACAGAGCCTGGGGTCAGCTCAATGCAGCGCTGCTTTGAAACATTTAGCCGCATGGAGCCTGGGGTCAGCTCCGTTCTGTGCTGCCGCTTTAGTACTCCTTTCCCCCTCCCTTTGCTGCCTCTATCTGATAGAGGCAGAATCAACTAGTCAACTCAACTATCCGATAAGCATATAATCGACTAGTCCTTAACATCCTTAGCATGGATACAGAAAACAAGTGATCTATTCTGAAAGCATGTAGAAAAAAGATATTTCACCTGTGCCTAAGGTTTCCATACATAAAGCTCAAAGGGCAACTGCCACTATATTTTTTGAATAAATTACTTACAGTACCTAAGATATCTCTTCTCTTCTACTATGCTGTCTGAAGAATCATCTGAAATGCAATCAGTACCATGATCAGACACTATTTGATAGATGCAATATAAGGACCTAAATGTGTAGTATTGTAAAAGTGGTAAGTGCATTTTTGCTCATGTAGTAAGTCAGTGGTGGTAAAAATAGGATTCACTTAGCTGATACTGTAAAACCAAAAGTAATACAGGCAGTCCCCGGGTTACGTACAAGATAGGGACTGTAGGTTTGTTCTTAAGTTGAATTTGTATGTAAGTCGGAACTGGTACATATTGTAGGGGAAACTCTCGCCAAACATTTCTCCAGAGCTCAGTTTTATTCTCCCACACCTCACTTCCCTCAGTCCTTTATTCTCAAGCTGAGGTGTCTGCTGAGAGAAGCCGCTCCGCGTCTCCCTGGTCTGCTGGGGGGAAGCAGCTAGTGCGGGGTTGCCTCATCCTGTTTGTAAGTAGGGATCCGATGTAAGTCGGATCCATGTAACCCGGGGACTGCCTGTAGTTTGGGACTGACTGGGTTTTTTAATCTTCATTAAAGAATGTGATTATGCAAACTGAACTGTGAACTAATCATTTATGTGAGTGATACCTGTACACACTGCACTGCTCTACTAATTTTAGTTTTTAAAGACACTTCACTGCAGGTAATAAGTAACCCATGTTGGGTACAAAGATTTCCAGCATTTTTTTCCCTCTCTTTATTCTGAAAGTTAATTTGCATCTATAACAATGACAAGGAAATTTTTATATTTTGAAAGGATGTGTGGTATAATTAGCTGACTGATCTCCAATTCCTACTGAATACATATTACTTTCCATCTGAAAAGTGCATAAAGAGTGTATTCGCTGTCTGACATGGCCATCATTCTTGAAGTTACTGCCAGGGGTCTCCCTTCATTTGATTGTTTTCCATGATAATATTCCACTGCTAGCACATAGTCACTAGTGTTGGACAAGAATACACATGTTGCAACAGTTGGTATGCTAAGTTAAAATTATAATTTGTCCTGGCGGATATGGTATTGTGACTTCTGTACAAATTTCTCCTATGTTCTCTTGAGCGCTTGAATTGTTAGCTAAATTTTGAGCATAGACTTAGAAATAATTTTATAAATTAAAAATAGCACATGGCTAGATTAAAGGCATATATTCACTGTTGGGGCTAAACCTTAAAAAAATCATATACTGGTCAACAGATAATATCCGTTCATAAATATATTTGGAGATGTTAGTTTAATTTTTCCCTGCCAGTAATCTTATTATGATTTGATTCCATAGAATAGTGAGCAGCCTGTTCAGAAGTTATCTGGTAGAGAGCAAGCACAGTAACTGAAAACTCTGGAAGGTTTGATGGAATAAGGTACGATGATCTTGATACGTTGGAGAAACTGGTAGATATCAATGAAATAAGATTCAATAAAAAGACATAGAGGTTCATCTCTATGGGATAATCAAATTCACATATATGGTATACAAAAATGATTGATGATA